ACACAACCCTCTCTATTTTCCTCCATACCCAAATCTCTAAAAAAGGGGCTGCAACGGATCTGATACAGACTGACCAGATTTGTACACTTCTATGACATCACAGAAGTGGCGCTACGGCTATTGGGCCAACTCTCCACCTATCAGGGGAATGTGGGGTTGGGCCACGGCCGGCCATTGCTGCTCGAAAGCACTGGAGACGCTGTAGTACATATGCCAGGCCTGTAAGTGGCGCTGTAGTCTGCCACAAAAGCAGCGAAGAAGACTTCCCGCGCATATGGTAACCATGGTTACCCTTCTGTTTATTCTCCGCTGTGGCTTTTTTTCTCCCTCCCCGAGGCAAGCGTTTGCTCCCGCTGCTTTAATTCAATGCAATCCCTCCCAGTCGAGGCAAGCACTGTAATTCTCTCCGGTTAGTCCACCAGCAGATGACAAAAACATGATGCTAATGTTATCCTAATAATAAAGTGCATTTCAGGACAATCTGTATTATTTCACAGTATAGAAGCAGTACAATAAGTAGCTTTCTTTAATTGCATATGATGGTCATGAGCACGTATAAAGCAAGTATAAATAAAGATACATGCTAACATCTTGGTTTCCCATGTACTATTCCCAGTAACAAGCAGTCAAATTTGGCCAAAACTCAAACCAATATCTTCATTCCTGACCTCCAACCACTTGTTGATGTAGACTCTCTTTCTCTATATATACAATGTGGCACATACAAAAGCACTTTTGAAGTCATTTTGCATAAATTATAAAAGTATTAACACATGTATTGGTAAAGTGACTGCATTTTATATAAAGCAGTCTTTACTAGTATTCATAGGCAGGGTCAGCCAAACAAAGAGCCCCCTGCTCAAGGAAGCTAACATTCACACATTGGCCATGGGAGCAATTTGGGGTTAAGTGGGATACAGCAACATGTTGATGGCAGGAGCAGGGGTTGAACCCACAACCTTCCCATTTGAAGACAAACCCACTGCCTCAAGCAATTTTTTCACAGATCCATTGCAGAAAGGTAGTACACTGCAGATCATTCCAGTTTTTTCTGGTTTCCCTTCCATTTACAAGACTTGCACAGTCCTCTTCACCCCACCACCACCATTATCAGGGGGCGATCCCCTAATAAGAAAGGTCATTTTCAGGGTCCCCCCCATAATCTTCACTTCACCTGTCAGTGGTCATAATGTTATGGTTGATCGGTGTAAGTATCCCTTGTCTCGAATGAACTTTGCCTTTGACTCCCTATTCCACCATGTTCACCAAACCTGATCTCCGAAATGCAAACCACCCAGTCCGGATCCGTAAAGAAGACGAGTGGAAGACGGCTTTCAACACCCCTCTGGGCCATTTTGAATACCATGGTGATCCCGTTTGGACTCACACATGCCCCTGCTTTATTCCAAAACCTGGTAAATGTTGTCCTTGGGCACATGTGTAACCATATTGTTTTCATATACCTTGATGTCATTCAGATTTTTTTTTTAAATGAACAAAATGAGCGTGTGAAGCACAACTGTTTTGGAGAATCGCATGTTCGTTAAAGCAGAGTAGTGAGTTTCATGCTTCTACAGTTTCTTCTCTCAGCTACATCATGGCCAAAGGACAAGTAAGAATGGACCTGGCCAAGGTGAAAGCAGTCCATGACAGGCCCAGTTTGGAAAGCTGTAAGCAACTACAAAAGTTCCTGGGTTCTGCTAACTTTTACAGAAGGCTTATTTGCAACTATAGCCGCATTGAAGCCCCTCTAACAACTCTCACTTCCCCTTCCCGAATGTTTAGGTGGATACCTGAAAGAGTCTTTTGCTGAGAGTTAAAACAATTAGAGACAGTTTAAGACTGACTGGCAATGAAATATTCTGTTAAATAGAGATACATAAACGTAACCATAAAGGTAAATAGTATTGGCAGTTCTTGATTCATTATTTTTGATAGTTTTTATCTTTTGTAACAGCTTAAATGTAACATCTGGATTTCAACAACATTTCAAAACACTTACATTTGTTCATGATTACATAAATACACAAATAAACTATAAATGACCTCCTGAACAAAAAACAATTGACACTTGATGAAGCCAAATACCAAACAGTCCAAATCAGTTGTGTGCATTTCACTTTTTGTAATTCCTCTGAAGCATTCTGTCTGCTGCTGATCATAAACATACAACGTTTAGAGTTATTCACGTTGAAAAAAAAATAGGAGGTGGTAGTCACAACCAATTATTGCTTGAATTGAATAATATTCAAACTGTATTGATCCTGTATAGATTTGTTTTACTGGTTAATAAAAGAGAAACTAAAAGAGAATACCATGACATTGTTGTGAAAGCAGGGATCTTAATTTCAAAGATAAGTTTCAGGGAGGAGTTGTTCACTTTGAGAAAAAAAGGTGAAGTGGTAAAGCTGCTTTTTATCTGATAACAGCAATTTGTTGAAGTGTGTTACGTCCCCACTAGGGAATGAGGAAAAGCAACACACACCAGTTGGAATTGGTAATAATTATAAGGAGTTTATTAAATAATGATGTAACAAAATGGAAGGCAAGCAGCCTGGAGCAAACAAAAAGGCCAAAAGGCGCACGTTTAAATGAGCAACCAACAAAAGGAGGACTCTAAGAAGGGAGCCTAATTAAATACAAAGAAATAGATACTAATAAACAAAATAGCAACAAAACAACTCTCACTATCGAAGTGGTACAAACTAACAAAAGGAGGCTGTAAGAAAAACACAGCTATACTCAAGGACAAGAGTCAACGTAAAACTAAGCTAATCTATACACCAATAATCACAACAATACTAATACGGACCACACGAGTTAACCACTTAACAGATTTGTCTACAATTGAAGAGCAAGTAGCGAGAGGCGTATGTTCACATGATCAGAGCCTTCCGACTGATAGTATTAAATGCATCCTGTGTGTTGTGTTGACTCCCATTACAGAAACATGTGACTTTTATGCCCTCACAGTGTAAATGAAGTTAGAAAAGTCACAACATAAACCAGTGTCTGTATTTAAACCAAAGTAAAGCCTTACTTCAGATTCAGTGGAGATCCATCCACCCATTTCCAGGTCGCTTCCTCTCTGTCACTCAAACCAATCCATGCATTTGACTTGGTAAACCAACACATAAGTATCTGTTGAAGAAGAACTTTAGCTATTACCCCAAATATCTGTGGTTTACATATGTACCTCAACATAAATGAAGAATGTTGCGTGAGAAAGACACATTATTTCAGCTGTTTATGATCAAAACTATATGTATTGATTGAATATGTTACATCTGGTGTTAATTAGATGACCCTTAGAATCTTATAACTCTGAGATTGAAGTCAGACTTTTTATGACAACTTGGTAAAAACTTGGTGGTGTTCAAAACAAGTAAATAGGGGAAGGAATATCGATTATAATAAACGCATTCAAACAATCACACAATCACACACAAACACACACACACACACACACACACACACACACACACACACACACACACACACACACACACACACATACACACAAACACACACACACACACACACACCCTAGAATTTCCACACTTTTGTTAGCCCCGAACATCCTGTATTTAATATAAATGTGTAGGGGGGGTGTACAGTGGGTGGTCATTGAAAATGTGTTCTGATATATGTTCTTCACAGAAAATGAGCCAAGGCCATTGAGTGTAAGTTTGAAAAAATAATTTCTCATATCATTTTTCTTTAGATACATAATGAAAACGGGACCACAGACCCGAACACCATACAAGGGTTAAGAAAACATGGGAAGTGGTAAAGCTGCTTTTTATCTGATAACAGTAAGTTGTTGAGTGCAAGAGCTTTATCTTGTCAAAGAGTAATACACCCACCATATTTTCTTTAAGTGTTATCTTGTGTAAAAAGGTTGCCATTTCCTGATCTAGCTACATCAAATTTGCACATTTACTCGAGAACTGTAATGTACTTCAAATAAAAGGGAGTTTGACTTTACTTTTTGGAATGAAACATGAGCAAATCCTGCAGTAAAAGTCTTGTTTGTTTTTGTATTGAAATGAAAACTTGCGGGATGTTTATGGTGCTTCATATTGCATTGACTGAAGTCAGACTGATATTTATTTCAAAGTCAAAGTTATTTGCACCGTTTAACCTTAAAACGTGTTTCACATTCAGAATTTTAAAGGTTTTGAGTCTTTGGCTTTGTCTCTCGTGAGTCGGTTGATTTAGTTAATATTATAGTTCCAAATAAAAGAGGAAAACAATCCAAAAACTGGTTGTTTTAATCCACTTCTTATTGAATTTACAGAACAATACTATACTGTACCCTGATTTATACCGCTACCATGATATAAAACTGCATATACTGTGAAAGAAAATCTTATATCCTACACTAAAATAATCAAAGGTACTTAAGGCAGTTATAAATGAAACACTAGACAAAAGAAATGTACAAGGTTACTCAGAGAAGCAACACACACCTTCAGCAGGTCAGAAACTGACCCTTTTTGGGCATAAAGGCACTGCATCCTTATTTTATAATAACATGTGACTGTGTGTTCAACTGTGGGAAGACAGCTGTGACTACATTTACCAGTAGAACATTTAGAAGAAGTAGACTTTGAGAAGTTGCGTAATTTGAGATGGGATGATTACTAACATGCAGATAGACTGCTACTCATCGTGACCTTCCCTTTTATCACTCTGTGGTCACAATGATGCTATCTCTGTCTGAAGGAGTTGCTGTGGATTTGCATGCATGTGAACAAGATGATAAGTATCAGTGTACATGGCCATAAAATATAATCTAGCCTTGAAATCCCCTTTCCCCGAATAAGGGCCTGTCCACATAATGCTTTTTTTTCTGGGAGAAAGGCACCGAGCAGAGTCTCCCCCGAGCGTTTTATCAAAAACAAACTCCCAATGTTGTTTTGTTGTTCCTATGACAGCAATGTCTTGACACTGTATCACCATTGTTGTATTACAGACTAGCCTCACCCCTTGGATTGTATTATCGATTTGTGCTATGTATTTGTTTGACATTGTGTCTATGAGAACAAACAGGAGGATGCTTGTTCTCACATTTTGTGTGATTGAGCGTCACAGCTTTAGTCTGACAGCCTTAGAGTGAGGAGGATGATATGTATACGGTACGATAAAAGCCACACACTCACTGGCAGATCTGCTCCAACAAACAGGCTCTTTGGTATTTGTTATGATGGTTACTGTCTGACAGTGAGACAGTCATTTCCTTCAGTGACGTCAACAGCGTTTTTCTGGAAAGTTTAAATATTTTCAACTTGACCAAAAAGGTGGAACGGTCAGAAGAAAGACGAGGGGTGCAACTCTTTCTCTGAAGACCACGGTGTAAAACAGTATAAGCTATCGCCTTATTGGAATACATTTGAAAAAAGATGCTGACATGCAGAAAAGGCGATATGTAGACCCAAAGCAGTTTAAGTTTAATAAATCAGGTCTGCAGTAAGCCAATTGTATCTACCTATTTGAGAACATGTAAACACACTGACTGAATAAAAGGGCTACAAATACATCCAATAGATGATGTAATCCCCATAAAAAGCAAAAGGGGTATGAACCTCCCTCTCACTATCCTGCTCAGTGGACCAGAACCTGGGGGACGGTCTTCTGCAGGTTCAGTCCCGTGAGAGCGGAGAAGGGAGGGAGGCCTTCGAAGCCCAGCAGCTGGCGGGTGGAGGACTCCCAGCTGAATCCAAACTCCAGCCGGCTGTAGACACACGGGTACTGCCGGTCCGCCCAGCAGACCCAGTCCACCGCCCTCTTCACCTCCTCCCAACGCTCAGGCCTGGAGGAAGAAGAAGAAAGTCGATATGAAAACAGGTTGCCACTCTGGATAGAGTGACAGCTAGTCTCCAAAAATCACCCAGACCCTACCAAACAGTGCCCATGTAGTTATAGCCTTTTCTACACTTCTTGCGAGACGTTTGATTCTTCTAAAATGGAAGCAACATTCCCCTCCATCCTTTTCTCAGTGGGTCAAATATGTTATGTACTTCTTACAGTTAGAGAAAATTAAGTTCTTACTCAGGGGCTCCTCTAACACCTTTATTAGAACATGGAAACCCTTTCTGGACTTTTATGACTCCTTACAAGATCCACTTGATAAAGAATAAGGTTGGATTGAGCAGTGAGCTGTGAGCATTTAATATATATTTATATATTATTGATTCATAATTTTTCTCTTTCTATTCCATTATCATTATTATTATTTGCTTTCTTTGTGTTTATCTCTGTGCTTTTTTTTTTTCTTCCTTCTTTGCCCCCCTTGAACTAATGTAATTATGAAAACACTGTATTTACTGTTAAAGGGCTCTGTATCCTGTAACTCAATGGGTTAATGCAGGGGTCTCAAACTCAAGGCCCGGGGGCCAAATCCGGCCGCGACTTCATTTTATGTGGCCCCGCAAGAGCTTGCAAAGAATATAATACGTTTATTATACGGTTACTGCCACTTTACAGAAGCAGGTTGCCCATAAACTACATGTCCCACAATGCATCTCGTTTTGTGACATGCCACTGAAGAGACTTGCAATTATTTGCCCTGGACTTCATTGGTTCCCGCAAGACATAATGCGGGAATGTGAGAGCAGACAGGTGTCGGTGCTTGACTTTATCAACAATGTTGCAACCTGGAGCAGAAACATAAAAGAGACACACACACACACACACACACACACACACACACACACACACACACACACACACACACACACACACACACACACACACACACACACACACACACACACACACACACACACACACAGTACTTTTGACAGATGTGTTTCTTGCATAAATACAATATCTCCACCTTGATGTTTCATTTGTATAAGCACTTTTTTAATTGGGTTGTTTAGGCCATTAAAGGTGGGGTCGGTCATTTTGGAGAAACCAGCTCGAGTGCTCTAGAATTTGAAAATACACAGCCGGAACAATGATAAGTTTGTGCACAGATGGAAGAATGACAGGCAGGTAGGCCATCCAGTTACTTTAGCCGGGCCGGCTAAAATGATTGGTCGTGCGTTTTACAGTACTACGGCTTCCACAGATGACATTTTGTTATGGATTTTTTGTCAAAGCACTTAAGATATTCATTGCTATCGGGATGTTAAGAGCATTCCATGGAATATAACAAAAAGTGTATCTCGAGCCGGTTTCTCAAACTTACCTACCCCACCTTTAACTAATAGTGAAATTATATTTAATGTTCATAGTTTAAATTCTGGTGTTTTCTGTGTTGTAACAACTCTCCTTTACACATAGTTCTCCAATCACTTCTCAAAAATGCACCTTTTAGAGCTTCTAAACCTGTGTACATAATTTCTATCACCTTTCTTGTATTTCCCAACAGTGCATCCATACTTAACCCTGCACGGGTAAACTGAAAATAATGATAACACATGTGACAACAGAACAAGAGTTGAGAGTCAAGACAAATTCAAATAAGCTTTATTGACATGCCCATATTAAAAACATACTATTGCCAAAGCACATTGACAATACAGATTTAAGACTGAAACAAGTGAGATAATCAAGTCCATTGTGTTAAATAGAGACATATCATCTTACAAAGCCATACAGATGAATAATATTCTAAATGTATTGATCCTGTATAGATCTGTTTTACTGGTTAATCAAAAGAGAATAGCATGACATTGTTGTGAAAGCAGGGATCTTAATTTTAAATGCTGATAAACACAAATGTCTTTCCTCTGAAGTACTCTGTCTGCCGCTGATCATAAATATAAAAAGTGTACATCATTTCAAAGACAACTTTCAGGGAGGAGTTGTTCACTTTGAGAAAAAAAGGTGAAGTGGTAAAGCTGCTTTTTATCTGATAACAGCAGTTTGTTGAAGTGGAAGAGCTTTATCTTGTCAGAGAACATGTAATACACCCACAATATATTCACACGGTTTTTATCTTTGTATGCATGCTCAAAGAAAGTTGCCATTTCCTGATCTAACTATATCTAATTTGCCCATTTACTAAAGTACTGTAATTAACTTCAAATAAAAGGCAGTTTACTTTTTTAAATGAAACATGAGCAAATCCTGCAGTTAAAGTCCCAGATTATTATTGTGATAAACATACATACATTTTTGTATTAATTGACAGCACTAGTTCTTACAGTATGTACAAAGTGGCTGGTACCTATGCATGTTAAATACCTGCAATAGATTTGTACTCACATGGCCACAAGAGGTCGTTGTTAGGAAACATACTGTATAACACACAGGCTATTTTACACATTTGAACAAGTTAGACCAATGCTGAGACTAGAGTATTGTTGTATATGTCTGAATTATTCAATAATGTTTGACAGTTTTTCTTTTTCTTATTCTTATCATATTCTGCTCAATAAGGCACCTTCAATATTATAACTTTCAGGAACTGTGGGCTTATCAGCAGATGTTTTTAAGAAGCTGTTTTTATGTTGATATGTAAAAAGATTTAACATTTATATTTTATTAGACATTTTCAAAGACAAAAACATATGGACGAAGACATGGCTCAAAACATCACAAACAGAACAGGACAATAACATGAAGGGTGGGGGGATTACAGTGTCAGTTACATTTAATGTATGCATATGGCGTTGTATTTATACATGATTTGCTTCATAATATAGATATACTTCATTGTTTCCTCATTATTATTATAAAACAAAACATTTATAATAGATAAATAAATAGATAAATAGTCAAATAAATACATTTTCCATTTAATTTCACTTCTTTCACTATTATTACCATTATTTTTCTGTTTCTTCATAACTTATTTATCTTTATTTATTCATTAATATTATTATAATTATTATATTTTCTATTGGCAGCCGAGATGGTTTGAGTCCTGAGGCCTGTACTACGAAGCCGGATTTTCCTAACCTGGATATGTTTGAGTTAGCCGGTTGGCCCATTCCAAAACATACGCGCTCTGGCTAAACTGTACTACGACGCTGGTTATCAAGTGGATCGCTCAAGCCAGCCGTGTCCTATCTAGTTAGGTGCGCGTTCACATGAAAGGGGTGGTATTTGGAGCATTCGACCAATCACAAACATGGACAAGCGTACTGACAGCGCAGCGTCATACTTCCTGAATGAAAAGTGAACTTTAATATTAGTCAAATATGAAGAAGTTAAACTTTAAACATCCATGACTTAAACACTTTATCCAGGATAAAAGCCACATAGCTGCACCTGCAAGGTGAATACAGCTGGTAAAAGAAAAAGCGCTTGAATGCGTACATTAACAGGTTTATGAAATCACTGCCCCGTCCAAGACACGAGTGGATCTGACTTTAATTACATTTGACTCGAGTGTTTCGTCAACTTAATGTGTTGCTTAAAACAATACTTCTGCATACAGTATGTGACACTGTGAGTGTTGCACGGCCAGATACGGCTCAAGAAGCTGACTCAGATAAGGACATATATGATATGAATGATAATGGGACACATCGACGTCTGCACTCACAGTGCCGCGGACTGTACTTAATGTTACTCTGATCCGGTTACTTATGTCGTGGCAGATATTTAAGTAAGCTTTCTTAACGCTAATGTTATAATAGTCAGATTGCTCTGAAGATGGGAGGGGATATTCTATTAATTTTCACGTTCACACAGTCAGTTGATTTTTGCCGGCCGTCTTTCCTGCAACGGCAGTTTTTCTGTATTTCCTCTATCCTGTAATATGACTTGATAGCTTTAAACTCCGCACACACGGAGCTCTGATTGGTCAGCAGGCGGTGCTTTCACTGAGTTGATCTCTTAGCCTGCAACCTAACCTCCTCCCGAGGAGGTTAGCCGCTCAGCATAAGTTACCATGGAGATCTAGCCCGCTAAAAAGAGAACCAGCGTCGTAGGACCGGAAAGCCCGAGTTTTCCCTGAAGTCAGCCGGCTAAGCGAAAATCCGGCTTCGTAGTACAGGCCTCAGGAAAACCCTTATCTTATCCCAGAGCCTGTTGTCTGGCTTAACCAAATATAATGGCGCATTTCCACTACACGGCCTCGCTCGGCCTCGCTCGGTATGGCTAGGCCTCGTTAGGACTGGCTCACTTTATGGCGCATTTCCATTACAGTTTAGGAACTGGGGTAGTATCTATAGTAACGCAGTGTAGGCGGAGCCGTGACGTCATCTTCAATGAGAACCCCAGAAAAACAACACAGCCGTTAGCTGTTAGCCCTCAGAGCTCACAGCTCCTCATATATATTCAGAAACTAAAGTTAAACAAGTACAAACCACAGACTGCCTGTGTCATGGCGAATACAGTCGCTGCTTTATTTATGTCTGTATAGGCCGTTGTTGTGAGTGTGGACGGTCGGAGCATATACTGCGTTAGCTTAGCCAATCTCCATTTAGAAAACACGCATTTTAAAAGGTTTTTCGCCTGCCGTCTGTCTGCAGATTTGTCAAAGCATTAATTCATGGTTTTTACTAACCGGTATCAGTATGTTGTTACTTCGGCATCATTTTGAAACGTGTATTACAATTAAATCACGGTCAAATATGTCCATCTTGTTGTAGTTGTAGCCCCCTTGCCAGCGATTCTCTCTCTAGTTTAGCATACTAAGCCCGACTCAGTCTCGTTGTCTCTGGCCCTGGCCCCACGATTTTATGAGGCCAGAAAAACTGTGAATTAGGACCCGTCGGCCGGTACTAGGCCAAGTGGAAACGCAACCAAAAACGGGCCGCTGACGTCACAGCCCTCTTAAACCGTGCTCCGCGCTGTAGTGGAAACGCGCCATAACAGGGAGAAAGCAGCTTCTTCCATACTTCAGATGTTTAGGAAGTCCTCCAGCCATCTATTTCAATTGAAGCAGTTGGGCTTTCTGACTTTCCAGTTCATAAGAACGTTACATAAGATATGTAAAAGGATTAATACAAATACTAATTTAATTGAGGCAAACAAAAGTTGGCAAAAACTAATTAAATTACTATTTATTTATTACTGATATTAATCCTAAACAAAAACACTAAATACATGTGATTTATCAATTCGAGCAAAGTAATTCTTATTCATGAAATCAGACATGTTGTTAAAGGTGGGGTAGGTAAGTTTGAGAAACCGGCTCGAGATACACTTTTTGTTATATTCCATGGAATGCTCTTAACATCCCGATAGCAATGAATATCTTAAGTGCTTTGACAATAAATCCATAACAAAATATCATCTGTGGAAGCCGTAGTACTGTAAAAAGCACGACCAATCATTTTAGCCGGCCCGGCTAAAATAACTGGATGGCCTACCTGCCTGTCAGCCTTCCATCTGTGCACAAACTTATCTCGTGCCCTCATTGGTCATGTGCACGTTCGTGTGTGTTGGAGGAGGGGCTCTGTAAGGAAGTGGCAGATTTTCTCTGGCTGTGTATTTTCAAATTCTACCGCACTCGAGCTGGTTTCTCCAAAATTACCTACCCCACCTTTAAGTTTTAAATAACTCGATTTAAACTAAATTGTAAAAGCATGATTGCATGTTTAGTATCCAAACAGTCACCAATGTTATTTCTCACAGATCCAATGCAGATTGGTCCTACAGGACCGGTCGTTCAACTCTTTGTAAGCATTGAAGTATGCACAGTACTGTTCGCCATAATATGGACTCCATCCTCCATTATCAGGTAGTGATTGGTGCCAAAACCTAACAGGTATTACAGGAAAACAAGATGAACTAAAAGATTGGACATGAAATACAAATAACTATAAGTAATACAGTTGTGTTCTTTTCGTAACACCCAAATTAATAGAAAGGTCACAACATAAACCAGCGTCTGTAATTAAAAAAGTAAAGCCTTACATCGGATTCAGATTCAGTGGAGATCCATCCACCCATTTCCAGATCCCCTCCTCTTCTCTGTCACTGTAACTCATACCAATCCAAGTCGGTTCCTTGATCATGCTAGAGATGGATTCCTGTTCACATATTAAAAATGCAGTTTACTGGGATGGACATCAACATTCAGATAACTTTTCCCTTTTTACTAGCTCAGAAATATGTAATTAACACCATTGTTGTAACGTAATCATTATAGCTGATAGACACATTTGCTAGTATATGTACAATTAAAACATTATTGATTGATAAAAGCAGGAGTTATACAATCACAAGTGTTAAAGCAGCACATATTACCTGTTCTTCATAACTGTGTATGATCACCAGATGTGCTCCTCCGGCTGTGCAGTTGTCTCTGCTTTGTTCCCAATAAGCTTTCTCAGTAGAGAGGAGATAACAGGAACAACCAAACTTCCTCCATCCTTCAGGACACGTTTTTGCTGTAAAAGTTTTAAGATCTTGTTGATTTACTGCTTTAACTGCTGAAATATGGAACTCTTGAGTGCATTATATGTCACTTTGGTAATAATAATGAAAACACATATTTATTAAGAATTTTTAGAGGGATCAAATGAGATCACAAATTTCATTGCAAAACAACTACTTCTCTTTTTTGGGATTTAACTAACTGTTTGGATGTGATCTAGTCAGGCACCATAGCACTGAGACTGATCTTGTTAAAGTCTTCAATGACATCCACTTAAACACAGACAGTGGCAACATTTCGCTGTTAGTTACTAGACCGACTGGAAAACTGGGTCTAAATTGGTTTGAAACCTTGTTATCCTTTATTATTGTTATTATTATTATTATTATTATTATTATTATTATTATTATTATTATTATTATTATTATTATTATTATTATTATTATTATTATTATTATTATTATTATTATTGTTATTATTATTATTATGCTGCAAATATCTGGAACAAACTACCTCTAAGTTCTTCTTCCTATTGCTTATATTAAAAGTAATTTAGACAAGGAAACTGGCCATAAGTATAGTTTACAGAGAAATATAAATATGGTGGGTGAAGAACAATTAAACAAACTATAAATTAAATCACTCACAACTAAGTCATTAAAAACTAATTATTGATTATCATCAATGAAAAGTGTTATTGTGTAACTATTTTATGAAAGGATCAATAGTCAGCCTTAGAATATCAATCTTGAGGTATTTTGTAAAAAATATTATGATAATATATATCTTACATACACATACCGAGCCCTATGCAAACCCCCACATGAAGCACTGACCATTGTTGTTCAAACAGTGAAGCCTGTCCACCTCTCTGTAACATTGATTTAAGTAGTCATGCATGTGAGAGATCTCCTCATCTCTGTCCTGGAGAGACTCAGTGAGGTTGGCCTTCAGCTGGTTGATCAGCTGATCTCTGGCCTGGAGACGCTCAGTCAGGTTGTCTTTCTCTTCAGTCACTGAGGTCAGGTTTGCTTTGACAGCGGAGAGATCTGCAGCTGCACCACCTACTGAGTTATGGTCTGAAATGAAAATAGATGTTTCTTATTACCTGATGCAATCATACTGACACAAACCAAAATTAATGTTTTCCTAATTTGGCCCTAGGAGAAAAGTAGAAAAACTATAGATGTTTTGGTCAAATGTGCATCTTTCAGAGCAGAATATTGCTCCTTAAAATCACACGTTCATAATGACATTATTAAACGTATTAAAAGAAAGACTCACAGTGGACAGCCAGGCCGATGAGTCCAGCCAGCAGGAAAACACCCAGCAGCCCCAGACCGAGAACAGACGCTCTGAGAAGTCTCCTGGGACCTGAACACAGAGAAGTCCAGGGAGTAATACAGTAAATCCAAAATCCACAGTGCACTCTGACTGATACTCTTACCTTCTTGTTTTGCAGATGATCTTGAGTTTAGGGGTTTGACATCGTCAACATTGGCATAGACTTCCTCCATTGCTCATGGGAATGCCAACTCTTTCCTCGAAGGTCAGCTCTGCAGCAAGTATCCTGAAGTATGTGACCGGGAAAAGTGTGGTTGCTGGTTTGAATTTCTAAATGCTTAATCTTTTTGAGGAAATCACACATCATTTTATATAAAGAATATCAGGAAATACTAACTTGTGCACAGTGCAGTGACAATACAGATTTAAGACTGAAACAAATGTGATAATCATGGCCATTGTGTTACATAGAGACATATAATCTTACAAAGCCATAAAGATTAATAATATTCAAAATATTCTGATCCTGTAAAGATCTATTTTACTGGTTAATAAAAAGAGAATAGCATGTCATCATTGTGAAAGCAGCTACAAATGATTTTTGCCGTGAAAAGCTGGCTCTCTTGATGGCCCAAGGCACAAGACGAACTGGCACAGATTTAAAGAATATTATTCTGTTAATGTAATGTTAATTTCTGAAAGTTGAGACAATTTAAGTTACCTTTTGTTGAACTACTGTATAAGTCTTTCAGTCTTCCTCTCAGTTATCCACTCTCAGGTGAAAGCCGTACTGCAGACGCCAGCTGATGCGCCACAACACCACTTCAAGCCTGGTGACTGGGTAGTGATCAAAGACTTCAGGAGGAAGCACTGGAATCAGCAACGGTTCCAGGGAAGTAGCGTGCCAAGCTATCAACACACGCAACAGAGGGTTGTGTTGTTCAGAGGGTTTTGTCGCATGTGTTCCGTTTCATATACATGTAAATACAAGTTTTACACAGAAAAAAGTTTTACATATGTATTTTTGATCCACACATATTTGTTTTCCGTTTAAAACCGCATTGTATGCACCTGTCATCTGGTTGAACTCATGATATCAAGGGTGAACTTGTTCTCTGTTTCAATCTGTTGCTTGGACAAATGCATGATTGTGCATTACTAATCGTCACAAGCGTATGATGTAGGCAGAAGCATAACCCAGGATGTCATTCATTTCTGTTCCTGTGTACTATGACAAGAGTGGGCCTTTATTTTCTGGAAAGCCCCTTAACCCTTGTGTGGTGTTCATATTTTTGTTATTCAGCCAGTGTTCGTGGGTCTGGTGGACCTGCTGCCTTTTTGGGTCTCAATTCAACACCATCAAACCATTTTATGTTAAAATACTCAACAGATGTTTACTTCATCCCAATTACAAGCAATATAAACATCATTTATGGTTAATATTTGTCCTTTTACATTTGTTAGATCACATTAATGAATTAAAGTGCTACTTGTTGTTTTGCCCGCTGACAGGCTGGTCCTGTGGCTCGTCTTTTGTTTGTAGCTGATGCTCAATCTCATCCTCTTCTTCAAAGTCACTGTCAGAATCAGAATTCTCAGAAATGTGATCCTCACATTCTGAAACCTCTTCCTCTTCCTCTTCATCATCATCAAATGGTTCTCTCTCTTACAAAATCATTTGCAAGGCCCTCTGAGCAGAGAATCTTTTGGCCATCTTAATCAGTTGTGATAAGGACCCAAACTGGCGAAGCTTTATTTATTGTGTTTCGCCCCAAATTTGCAGCTGGGATAGAGTGGGGGAAAAATAAAGATTGGTTTCCGCAAAACATAATGCGGGAATGTGAGAGCAGACAGGTGTCGGTGCCTGAATTTATCAACCATGTTGCAACCTTGTGCGGGAATGGCAGGGGCAGAAGCACAAAAGTTTCAACACACACACACACACACACACACACACACACACACACACACACACAGACACACACATACACACACACACACACACACACACACAGACACACACACACACACACACACACACACACACACACACACACACACACACACACACACACCACACACACACACACACACACACACACACACACACACACACACACACACACACTACTTTTGACAGATTCTGCACCAATATCTCCACCTTGATGTTTCAGTTGTGTAAGCACTTTTCTTAATTGGGTTGTTTAGGCCATTGACTATTAGTGAAATTATATTAATGTTCATAGTTAAAATTCTGGTGTTTTCTGTGTTGTAACAACTCTCCTTTACACATAGTTCTCCAATCACTTCTCAAAAATTCACCTTTTAGAGCTTCTAAACCAGTATACATAATTTGTATCACCTTCCTTGTATTTTCCAACAGTGTATCCATACTTAACCCTGCACGGGTAAACTGAAAATAATGATAACACATGTGACAACAGAAAAAGAGAAAAAAATAGTGCGACTTCCATTTGTGTTACCAAGCAGGTAGCTGTCCAACGTTTTCCATGCATGGAACTGAGCATGGATCCTAGGGTCTGCTAAGACCCAGAGCTGCAAGTCTTAAAAAACAGCCCAATAAAATATTTTCATCTAGATAGTTTGAAATATGATGTCTGATGTCTGGGAAAATGGCAATAGCGTAGAGGATAAAACAAAACACCATCTTAAGTGCTAAAGGTAGTCCTAACAACTGTACCAGAAAATTATCTATATATCTATCTCAAAGATATAAGGAAATGTTTGTTTGTTTCTCACGCTGAGAGTCAAGACAAATTCAAATAAGCTTTATTGACATGCCCACATTTAAAACATACAAAGCAAATTGACAATACAGATTTAAGACTGAAACAAGTGAGATAATCAAGTCCATTGTGTTAAATAGAGACATATAATCTTACAAAGCCATAAAGATGAATAATATTCTAAATGTATTGATCCTGTATAGATCTGTTTTACTGGTTAATAAAAAGAGAATAGCATGACATTGTTGTGAAAGCAGGGATCTTAATTTTAAATGCTGATAAACACAAATGTCTGTTCACTGCGTAATTTGAGATGGGATGATTACAAACATGCAGATAGACTGCTACTCATCGTGACCTTCCCTTTTATCACTCTGTGGTCACAATGATGCTATCTCTGTCTGAAGGAGTTGCTGTGGACTTGCATGCATGTGAACAAGATGATAAGTATCAGTGTACATGGCCATAAAATATAATCTAGCCTTTAAATCCCCTTTCCCCGAATAAGGGCCTGTCCACATAATGCTTTTTTTTCTGGGAGAAAGGCACCGAGCAGAGTCTCCCCCGAGCGTTTTATCAAAAACAAACTCCCAATGTTGTTTTGTTGTTTCTATGACAGCAATGTCTTGACACTGTATCACCATTGTTGTATTACAGACTAGCCTCACCCCTTGGATTTTATTATCGATTTGTGCTATGTATTTGTTTGACATTGTGTCTATGAGAACAAACAGGAGGATGCTTGTTCTCACATTTTGTGTGATTGAGCGTCACAGCTTTAGTCTGACAGCCTTAGAGTGAGGAGGATGATATGTGTACGGTACGATAAAAGCCACACACTCACTGGCAGATCTGCTCCAACAAACAGGCTCTTTGGTCGTTGTTATGATGGTTACTGTCTGACAGTGAGACAGTCATTTCCTTCAGTGACGTCAACAGCGTTTTTCTGGAAAGTTTAAATATTTTCAACTTGACCAAAAAGGTGGAACGGTCAGAAGAAAGACGAGGGGTGCAACTCTTTCTCTGAAGACCACGGTGTAAAACAGTATAAGCTATCGCCTTATTAGAATACATTTGAAAAAAGATGCTGACGTGCAGAAAAGGCGATATGTAGACCCAAAGCAGTTTAAGTTGAATAAATCAGGTCTGCAGTAAGCCAATTGTATCTACCTATTTAAGAACATGTAAACACACTGACAATAAAAGGGCTACAAATACATCCAATAGATTATGTAATCCCCATAAAAAGGCAAAGGGGTATGAACCTCCCTCCAGGGGCGGATCTAGACAAATATTCATGGGGTGGCAAGAGGGTGGCAGGAGAATTTCAGGGGTGGCATCCCCTGGCAGAAGTATATGCTGATTTAATCGCAGTCATATCAATTAATGTTAACTTGGAAAGCCACAATATTTATATTTTAACTCAATAACATTTGGTGACATTATTGTGGCACATCAGTAAAGCCTTACATAGAAATATATAAGGTGGCAGACGTAATTGAATGAATTTTAACTGAAATGAACCCTGAATGAGTTTGTCTCAAGGGCGCCGGAAGCGGGGGGGCCAGGGGGCCATTGGCCCCCCCACATTTGAGCCCGGCCCTACATTTTCGCAGCGGCGGATGCCGCAGAACACTGTACACATCCCGTTTCAATAATTCCCCTCTACTCTAAAGTCGCATCTAAAACGCGATCTGATCTAGCTGTGTATATTTTGTTATTTGTTATTGTTATATTCAATCTCATTAGCTACAGGCATTTTTGAAGCTTGTAAAGGGAAGATGACAGCTCGCCTCTCACTCGCCACTCTGCTCTTCCACAGCGCAGCTTCCCCTCCCTCTGCTGAAATTATGAATGTAAGGCGTATAGTAATCATATATAACACGGCAGGGTCCGTTACAGTTTGTTTGTATCTGATTTCAAATAAACAAAGTCTTGGCTTTCAGAATATTAAACTTGTTTCGGCAAATTCAGATGATAAATACAACTTTGAAGCTTGTAACGGCATAATTACAAGCGGAGACCGGAGTAACTTGACGTCACAGCACGCATAAGAACAGCCGGTGTTTCTTGTGAGTGTTTTCCCCAGGAAACAAACACAATACACACACAAACGCAAAAATACACAAACACGTATACACACACTCGCGGGCTTCCCCCAGACCAGTAATCCAAACGAAAATATCTTCCCTCCCACTACTTTGATCATTTGCTCCGCTTCCAGAGAAGAGGAAACTTTAAAGGCCTTTTTCTCAAAATGATGACTCTGTAACAGTCATTATATAATGTGACATATTTTGCTTAATATTTGGGAGTACAAAAACTATCCTGATATCATTAGAAAGCTAGGAATCTCCTCTTTCCAACAGTGTATACAACTCAAAATGTGTATTCGCGTCAATGCGACTGATTTCGATGGAGCAGGTTTGCATTAGGTAAAATAAAGCAGGCAGACATAACAGGAAGAATATGTAAATGTTAACCCAATCAAATAGGACATTGTCACACCATTCAAATGTATCCATGTAAATTACAACCAATAAAAAAGCTTAGATGTGTTTACTTGTTACGTTGTTTACTTTATTTGTTACGTTGTTCTGTGTGTGTCAGCCGTTAAACCAGATAGAAAGAATAGATACACTTGCAAACAAGTCAGAAGAACCAGTGCAGAAGAAAACTAAATACAGTTAATCTAAACTTACATTTAACAACTGGAAGGTCACATCCCTGACATCCACTTCTCCGGAGCCTGGACCTTCATCAATCATAGAAGAACCAGCGAAGCGAGAATAGATAAACCCAAAAGCAGCAGCTCTGCGGCCGCAGAGACTGTCAAAACCGCCGCCGCCACCCCCACCGCCATCGTTGAACCGAAACAGGCTGGTTCTGACTGCATGGAGGTTTGTTGTCGGGACATTGAGGCGGGTAAAGCTGTACAGCTAACTGTCGAAAAAAAGGAGACCGCTAGATCGTCTGGGCAAAGAGAAAGGTACTTCAACGCAGAATGGTACAAAAACAGAGAGTGGTTAATTATTTGCAAAACCACTAAACGGGCCTTCTGTGAAATATGCAGATTTGCTGCTGTCAAACGGCTTGTAACTTTCTCAAAATGTGGAGATGATAGCTATGTTAATACCGGAGTTAATAACTGGAAAAAGTGCC